CTTTTCATCATCAAGAACTAAATGCAGGAAACGCAAAGCAAGACTTTGCTTCAGTTTTATCAATAGCTATTTGAAAGTATTTTAAACTGATATTTCTATTTGACCCAACTTGATTCTTCCACCATCCCAAAGACAAACACCACACAAATGCCTTCATATCCACTCTCTCTGGGGGATGAAATCAATTTAGGGAAGAAAAATAAATCCTATTGTTTCAAGTCTCATTCTTTTGCATCATTTTCTCCTAACATTCCAACCACACTTCATTTATTCAAAGGTACTAAAGCCCTTTCATACTCAGTCATTCCCATATGGTACTCCTCCGCTTGGAACCTGCTTCCTTAACTTTCTAGCTAACTCCTCAATTTTCAGGTCCGCTTAACTGCCATCTTCTTAGAGAAACTTTCTCCATATCCGCACTCTAAAAAGATGCCCCCTTTTCAGAGTCACTGCCTCTCTACTTGCCCTTTACAGAAATATCACAGTTTGTAATTCTGTTTATTTTTTGACTGGTTGACTAATTTCTTACTTCCTCCACAGGACTATAAGTTATGAGGTCTGAGACCAGATTATGAAAACACACATTCCGACTTCCATGCCTTCCTCCACCTTTCCTTGTTCTTGGTGTTGCTCTGGAGAACAACGAGCAATCACCTGCTTGTGGCCTACAGATAAACTGATCCACAGGACTTTGCATATCTTCAAATGCCTGATCAAATACTCCAGTGGTCTTTGTGCTGCAGAGAGCCCCAGATTCCATTACCTCCCATTGTGTTGGCCCAACAACACTTAGAGGGACAACTGATGTGCCCGGTCACTGCTTCTCTACATGGATTTTAAGCTCTCCACAGTCCGTGAAATGGTCATGGTTTTACAAACCCTACCCTATATTTGTATAGGTAAACCTGCCAGATGAATGAATGTGTATTTCATTAGGCATACACTTTCTGAGAAAAAGGCCAAAGGGCTCAATAGGGAGTGGTTCCTTTCTATTTACATGTAAACCAAAATGGACAGCCAAACAAACTGTAGGTAATAGCCAATCTAAGGTAACCTAAAGAAAAGTTCACTCAGCATGAAGGGCATTCCCAAGAAGGCGTGGACCTGTATTAAAACCTAAGGAATTTAAGGAAAAGTAGAAATAGAGCAAGGGGGCATTATTAAGAAGGCACAGAACAGTTGCAGTGAACTCCTTAGATGGTCCCAACATTCAAAGCAATGGGCATGGATTCTGAAAGTTACTTCAATCTTAGAATAACACCATATCTCTTTAGGTACTCCCCAATCAGGTCAACCTTCAGACTAGCTGAAAGCCAAAACACAAAAGAAGCCAACAGTATAATCATTATTTCTCTTCCTAACCCCTAATCACAGGGAAGGCAATCCACTCTGCAAGGATGTAGGCCTGTGAACCAGAATTGGGACATCCAGATTCTCCTCTTGGCTTTGCTGTCACTGACCCCTCTCAACACTTAACCTCAGGTATAAAATAAAGGCACCATGTTCTACAGTTTATATTATTATGCTGATATATAGGAATGGCACCAAAAACCATGGAGTTAACAGAACTGCTAAAATTTGTACTGCTCATACCAAACCAAATGTTTTCTTTTAAATTCTTAGTAACAAATTTAAGTAGGATATTGTAAACATGACATATACACAGAAAAGGAAAACAAAAAAAATGGTGATGTGGAAACCATTAGACATAAGGTACGTCTGAGAGAAGTGAAAATATCTATCTTTGAAAAGAGAAGACATAAAAAGAAATGAATAGTCTTTTAAAGTACCAAGAGACAGATGTCACAATGGTAATTTATTCTATTTTACTTTACAGGACACAATTTATCAATAGGGTAAAGGTTGCAGGGAAGCATTTGACTCCATTGAAAAGCAAACTTAAGAATTAGCTAGGTCTAGCAAACATATAGACTGCCTCCTTTGTCACTGGATGTCTCAGAAGCTACATGAATAGCTCAAAAGACTATTTTAAAGCAGGAGGCAACAAACTTTCTGCAAAGGGATTTGAGGGCCACATATAGTCTCTGCTACATATTCTTCTTGCATGTGTATTTTTACAACTTTTAAAAATATAAAAACCATCCTTAGCTTACAGGCCATATAAAAACAGGTAGTTTGCAGATTCTCATTTTTGAAGTGCTTTCCAATAGAAAGATGAGTCACATATGTATCTTAAAATTTTCAGAAACAAAAAAATACACAAAAAAACCACAAAATTTTTCTAATACCTACATCTTAAAGATTAAAAGAAACAGGTGAAGTTCATTTTAATGCATTTTAGTTCAATATACCACAAAATTACCATTCTAACATGAAAACAAAAGTACTAGTGAGATATTTTACCTTTTTCTAAAACTATGTCTTCGAAATCCAGTGTATAATTTATACTTACAGCATATCTCAATTTAAATTAGTCACATCACAAGTGCTACATGTGGCTAGTAGCTATCATTCTGGACAGAGCTGTTCCAGAGAAACTTGGGCACTCCACTGAGAAACAGAAGAGATAACCTTCCAACCAATACTTCTTTTTCTTTCTTATACTTATTTCTAATGATCCAAATTGATGAAGAAAAACTATATTAGTCAATAAATGACTATTGAGATGACTGGCATGCTACCTAGAAAAAGAAAACTGGATCTCTTCTTGTGCATTACTCCAATATGAAGTCAGACAGAAATGAAAAGTCAATCTAAAAAAGTAAAATACATTCAAAGGCAAGTAAAGAGAAAAGAATGCCAAAAAAAGGAAAAGGGGATGTTATTTAAACCATCAGACTGGCAAAGATTGAAAAGGAGTCATTTCCTCAGACTCAATAAAACTGGTTTACAAATCAGATATTATTGGTGGGAACATAAACGTAAATGACCTTTCTTAAGGGAAGCTTTGCAATCTGTATAAATATGTACCTCACTTCTGGAAATTCACCCTAAGAGGTCATGATAAAGGACAAAAAGATGAAGACACAAGGATATTCACTGAAGCATTACCCATGAGAGGCAACAGCTGGAAGCAACTTAAGTGTCCATCAGTAGGACAGATTAAATAAAATAAGGTCGTTAAAATTATGTAGGTCTCTTATAGCAAGATGTTGACATGGCGGAGGGGGAAATGAAGGTTATTAAACAACACATACAGTGTGATCCCATTTATGTAAAATGCAAAATTTCATGTAAATGTTCATTTTCATAAAGAGAACATCAGAAGGAAATTTAATAAAATGTATACAGTGATTATGTCTGATAGAGGTTAGGTTTGGGATAATTTTCTTTGGACACAACTATATATATTTATCTTCATTTTTTATGATCACCTGATACCTTTTATCCCAGAGTTGTTTTTATAACCTTCTCAGCATGATTTTTTTTTTCCACTAGCCCTCTTAGAAATATCTTTTATGTAACTTTAGAGTGTGCTACATGCACCACAGTGTGGTGAACACATTCTTTCACTGAGATAATATGTCCCTGCAACTCCTACTTTTTACACATGAGATTTTACAGAGCATGGGACCTATAGCACCTGCGGTGAACTCCTTCACTCACTGAAATAACTCTACTCCAACTCAGGAATTATTAGCACTCTTAGAAACACAGTTTAAACATATGTCTTTACATAGCGTCACACATGTACTATGAAGTGGTGAATACATTCCTTCAGTGGAATAATCAAGATGGTGTTTTTATCTTTTCTGATTAATATAAAACTTATTTTTTTAACTTCAAAAATTCTTGGAGAAGATCAAAAAGGAAATGATCAGAAAGTAAACAAAAAGCCTCTATTTAGTGAGTAACTTCTTTTCATAGGTTATAGAGAGATTGGGGAGAAATACAGGTGGCAAAGAAATCTAATAATCAGACATACGAGGAAGCCACCTGCCTTTCCCAGGTTAAGCCATAAATTCATTCCTGTACAAAGCACAGGAAGGGTAAGTATGTTAACTCCACCTTCTTGTGGTGAGCAATGTTATATGATAATACATAACAAAAAAAACAATTCTTTAGAGATGAAAGATATCCTTCAAACATATCTATAGAATATAACACATGAAGAAAGCTTCTTTTTTATTTATTATTTTAAAATTTATTTTACTTTATTTTATTTCTTTAAAGATTTTATTTATTTATTTGACAGACAGAGATCACAAGTAGGCAGAGAGGCAGGCAGAGAGAGAGGAGGAAGCAGGCTCCCTGCCAAGCAGAGAACCCAACTCAGGGCTCGATCCCTGGGATCATGACCTGAGCCAAAGGCAGAGGCTTAACCCACTGAGCCTCCCAGGCGCCCCAGAAAACTTCCTTTTTAAAACCCAAAACACTCATCTATATAATTCTAGGAACTTACTCAGAGTTAACATCACTAGAAAAATTCCCTGAATTCTGCAGAAATGACAAATGATGAAAAAAGTAATATATTTTCATGTCTTTGTAAATTACCAAAATAGCCTACCAAACATAACGGATGAGTTCACGTGAAGAGTTCTTTGCTAGTTTGCCCTCCACCCCTCAGCAAGCTAAGTCACTTAAAATACAGACGTGAATAAAGGTAATTCCATACAATGCCACTTTTCAGCCACTAGGTTTTCCAAGTTTGGAGTTTATAAGAACTATAAAACTACAGGATTATGCGATACAAATAAGATTTGATACAAAATAATCTTTTCCTCTCAAATCAGTGACATTCTTCAAACCCCTAGATTTTTTTCTCTCAAATGATAAAAATTTAGCACAAGGCTCATTCACAATGGACTCACAGGATCTCACTGTGAGTACAATGGATGCCTGAAACCATCAGTGTTCTCCTGGGGGAAGAGTCTCCAAAAGAAAACAGTATGACACAAAAAGATGATCAGCATTATAATATTTTCTTAATTAGGGGAAAAACTCCAACTGCTATTTCAAGAATTAAAAGGCTGTCTTTTATTGAACTGTCATGCTAGCTCTCCAACAGGCGAGCAGTGGAGACATTTTAAATGCATTACCTTTAGGAGGAAAATACGACTTGCTTTCAGCTTTGTGAGGCCAGTCTACAACGAGAGGTCCAAACCTGCGAAAGCTGGCAGTGATCTCATCTACAAAATAAAGAAGCAATCTTAGAGAAAAAAAAATATTGCAAACAGAATAGCATAATGCATGTCTTTTTATTTAAAAAATACTTTGAGAACTATTTCTAAAGCATTTTTATAGAAGTCAAACCTACTAAGTGAAATACAATTGTTTATTGGGTATATTTGGTTATTCACTTTCAACCATGCAGAATGTGTTTCTAATTATAATTCACTGCTCTTCACCACCAACAAATCTGATATAAGAATGTGGAAGAAAAAAAATCTGACATAACCAAGGTGACCTCTCTGTCGGGTTAAAAAAAAAAAAGATTCTAAAAATAGAAATGTTCTCTGCTTTTAGAAAAAAGGCAAAAGTATGCAAAATATTTAAAGTATGCTTTCATTTATGTAAAATAACCTCCAAAATATCTAAGGTCATTAATATTAGGTTTTGATTATTAGTAATCTAAGATTATCTATAAGATTATTTTAGAAATAGATACAATTCTTTTGGTGAGGAGTAGGAGCAATAAGTAGGTAATTCTATTTGATAATAAAAAGTTAATACCAATGATCTCTTTCTTTCATACTTACCTACTACATATTCTATAAAGAAAATGTTTCCAAAGTTATAGCTCAATAAATTTACCTTTTCCTTCTGACTTCTGACTCAAAGCAGAAGGTTATAACTTAGCTTTCACTCAGAATTAAGCTGCTACCCTCTCAGACATGATATAAACTTTGAATTTAAAAAAATCCCATTGATAGATGAGATTAACACTAGTATGAGAATAGTTTGGAGAAAAATGAGTCTCCAGCTCTGTACAACTTTAAAGCAATAAGTCTTAAATAAAACTATTTTTAGACTATTCCTTTCTCATCATGAAAAAAGAAAATCATGATAAGTTGGAGAAATGTCACAACTAGAACAATGCTGACAAAACAATTGTTTTAACAATATTTTTATAGAAGTTCCAAAGCCTACTAGAATTAGAATTGTTTTTTCCCCTTAGGTTAACTGTCACAATTTTATTCCATTCGTCTGTTCAACAAATATTTATTGACAACCTACTATGTGCTGATTGGGTTTGGGCATTATTGAAAACTCACTTTTGGATCGACAGTATCTCAAGAACATTATTAAGAAAAATTCTAATTAGCCTTTATTCTTTTAAAGGAAAGGGGGGGCTTTTAATTAATAGATATCTATATTAAAATATGAGATGGGATAGTGATGAACATGACCAAAAGCACTGGAATTGGTTAATTTTGAATGCCAGCTGCACCATTAGCTACATAACCTTGGACAAACTGTCTGCCTCTGATCCTCAGTTTCCTTATCTATAAAATGGAGTTGGTAAGATTTGCCTTAAAGGATGGCTATAAGGGTTAAATGAGATAATATAATGTGAAGCACTTAGCACAATTTTGGGCATATAGAGAGTTTCACAAATACTAACTTTCATTATTATTTTACAGTTTAACCCCAAATTAATGACTGGGAAACATGAAGCTGTTGGGAGACTGCCCTGTATGAACACATTTGAAGAGCAGACCTGAAAGGCACCATCTATTACTTCCTCATCTTTTGAATATTTTCATCCTCCAAATACAAAAACAGGAATGTCCCAAACTGCTTGGAGAGGAGAGGCAGGGTCAAATCACACAAAGAACAAACCTGGCCTTTATAAAGTCCTTAATGAATGCATCGTACCTTCATCAATATCAGGAGGAAGGCCTCCAACAAACACCTTTCTAGAGTAACGTTCTACTCGTTCTCCGTTTTGACAGCGAGTGGGAGAACTTAAGCCAGATGACAAGGATTGATCGCCATGACTGTCGTCTAGGAAGGCATCTTCAAAGGGAAAGAGAGAAGACCGACCTGAAACAAACGTGGAAGTTTCTACAGTTAAAATTATTTTCTTGGACAACAAATGCTTTATTAGGAACCAAAGTGTAGAATGAATCATACAAAAAAAGATGCATCCTGAACTGTGACTTTTACAATAGGGTAAATTGTACAATAGGGTAAACTGCAGATTGCTGAGCCTAGACAATGCCATCATTTTTGTGTAAAGGTATGCATAGCACAGAAATAAATGGACTGATCGTCAGGAGGAAGCATCCAAAATTACAGCTGCTTCCGCAGCTAAAAATCACCACCTTTTACGCAGAGAGTTCCTATCACTGCCACTAAGAGTATTCAGCAGCTATTTTTCCTTTCCCCAGACATTTCTTAAAATAAATGGAAAAGTAATCTTTATTCACAGATTTTTATGTGCTCAAAGGTCCAGGCTGGCTGGCCCTGACAGCAGAGGGAATATTACACTGATAACAAAGGCTGATCGCCTCTCTGATAGAAGGACAAAAGATGATCAATTTTTCCCTGACACTCTGAACTAATCCAATTTAGGAATAAACACCTGCAGTAATCACAGATGGCACAAGTAAATGAGAAGACATAAATTAAGGTGTGGGAGTACAGATGCAGATGTGGTTATGACATTTTTACCCTACTAATCTAGGCAGTATTTTATATCACTCAAAAAATTATTTTCAGGGGCGCCTGGGTGGCTCAGTGGGTTAAAGCCTCTGCCTTCGGCTCAGGTCATGGTCCCAGGGTCCTGGGATCGAGCCCTGCATCGGGCTCTCTGCTCAGCAGGGAGTCTGCTTCCACCTCTCTCTCTCTCTCTCTCTGCCTGCCTCTCTGCCTACTTGTGATCTCTGCCTGTCAAATAAATAAATAAAATCTTTAAAAAAAAATTATTTTCATTGTCAACTCTATAGCCAAATAGAGTTTATACAGCAAAAGCATCTACCCATTCCACATGACTGTAAGAAAGATGCCAGCAGTTAGAGTCTGTTAATAAACATAACACAATAATGCCATCCAGCATTACAAAATAAAATCTAAGTTTAAAACAAATATATTTCCTGTTTGAGTCAGTGAGTTCCTGGTAAAACTTTCCATTAGGTTACACTCTAAAAATGAACCATCTTGAATACTCTAACTTTTGAAAAAGAGAATAATTCTCCTCTAAAATATATTCATATACTCTTCAAAAAAAGAACAGTGTCTTCCCCATTTAGTCTATCCTGTCTGTATTTCCCTGAAACCTAGTTTCTGCGTCACTACAGCCAACTCTCTAAAACAGAATATAAATAGCCTTATAAAAATACTGAACATTTATTTCTTTTACCAAAAATATGGCTACTAATATAACTCTATTTATTTTATGAACAACCCAGGTGGTATAAGAAAGGCGCTATTTTGATGTTGGGAGTTAACAAATAAAAGGACCTAAGAATTTATTGTTCAGCTCTTCCTAGATTAGCTACAAAGAAATAGAATAAATTTTGTCACCTCATGTCACCTAGATTTCTTAGCCGGGGGGAACAAACAATAGGCAGTAAATTCTCATCCTGTGAAGTCTGTTCTGATCACTGGGGGTACAACAAATAGAGTTGCAGCAACCATAGGCAAAATGACTTTCCCAAAGACATCCAGAGATGTACTTGCACAACTGTCAGATTTGCTTCCCACGGGGTCCACACTCAGTGAGTTATGTGCTTACTCTGGGACACGCACACACCCAAATCAGCATTTTCCACAGAAAACTCCTATCCCCATCTCTTACCCTCAAACTAGTAACATGAAATGCTCAGGAAACAAAGGCTGCTAGGGGCAGGGAGGGGGGAGACAACTAAATAATACTGGAAAATACTGCACACCTTATGCCCTTCCCAGATATTCACAATCCATATCAGAATATAAACAGTTGGGAAAAGTTCTGCAGTATAATAAATTGACCCAGCAGTACCTGGATTTAAGATTAAAAAAAAAAAAAAGTTAACATATGCAACTCAGTGGAAAACACTTGAAGAAATATTTATCTATATTCTAGAATCACCAAACTAATATGAATTATTTGAAAGTTCTTGACAAAGAAATCGTCTGGTCAGAGATAGGCAAGTGCATAAGTATAAGACAGAAAAAATTAAGTACTAAATGAAGACGATACCAAGAGCACTATTACTGCCCTATGGGAGATGGGGTGGGTGGAGACCTTTGGAGTGATTTCACACGAAGGCCACCTTGAGCAGAATCTTGTGGGGTTGGGGTTTCTAAGGTAAAGAACAAGAATCCACAGAGACAGAACTTTCAAAACAGCTTTGACCTTTCCCTCCAAACCAGGTCCTCTAGCATTCCCTTCAATCTCAACAGAAATGACTAAACACACTCAATTCAATCCAGAAATCCAGGACTCCCCCTTGACATTTCTTTCTTTCTTTCTTTCTTTCTTTTCTTTTCTTTTCTTTCTTTCTTTCTCCACATCTAATCTCTCTCTCACTAGCTTCTATCAATTCAAGCTATGAAGTAATTCTTCAATCCATTCACTTCTCCCATCTCCAGTCCTAACATCCTGGGTTCCAGATCATCATCATCTCTGCCCTGAACTAATGGGTTCCAACAAGTCTATATGACAGCCTATTTAGTCTACTGGTTTCTTTCTTGAACCCCATAAGGCTTTTTCCACACAACAGCCCAAGTCTTCATTTTCAAATATTAATCTGAACACATAACCACACTCCCCACCTTCATCTTTAGAACCCTTCAATAACATCAAACTGTTTTTCAGTAAAGTACAAAAACATCACTCTATAAGGCTTATGCAGTCTCCTATATCACAGTTGTTGCCTCTCTCCTTCTGTCTGGTTCACTAACTTCCAATCACTCAGACCTCCTTTGAATTTCCTGATGATTCCTTCTTGCCTCAGGTACCAAGGACAAGGTGTTTCCCCCTTCTCCCAAATAAATACTCTCCTCCCAACTCCCCAGTTTTCTAATTAATTCCCACCAATTCTTCAGGTCTCAACTGAAGAGTCATTTCCTCAGGTGGAACTTTCCTGAACTTCTAGATTAGGTTAGCTTCCTTTTTCTATCCACTCATAGCACTTCCCCTGACAATTTTCCCAATTACCATTATACTATCATGTGGGTTTTTTGTGGTATTTCACTCCCCAGCTCCATTAAATTGTAAGCTCTATTAGGACAGGGACCAATTTAATCTTATTCACCACTGTCTCCTCACATCCTAATGAGGGCCAGAAAAGGTATTCAATAAATATTAAAAGTGAGGCAACATCCAGAAAAGGATAACAGTACATGCAAAGACACACTGTTCCAAGTATATGCGGGAACACAGCACGCAGGTGTGAGAATGGCAAAAGAAGGAACCATGTCCTAGGAAATTGAGACCTTTTCTATTGCTTCTATGTGTCAGACATTATATTCTATACTTTATATTACAAAAGCAATAGGGAATTTCCCCATTTTCCAAGTCAATATTTCCTTCTAATACTAGCTTTAAAAAAAAAAAACAAAAAACCCCTCACTTTCTGGAGACTGATACTCCCATCTAATTCATCTTCCATCCTGTCAGAATGACTTTTCTGAGATGCCTATGACCATGTGATTCCCTCTACCTCACATCCTACAATAGCTACCATCACTTTCACCAGCAATTTGCACCCAGGGAAAGAGGAGATGGGGTGAGAGTCTGTAGAAATTTGGGACCGTCCAGACAAGAGATGAGGAAATCTTGAACAAGCGCCGTGAAGGAGGAGGAGAAGTAGATATTCAAGATGTTCCAGAACAAAGAGAACTTTCTTTGTGCATGACCAATATAACCACAGCTTCCCAGAATATTCTGGCAAAGAAAATAAAAGCTAGAGTTAAATGTAAAAATTTGGACAGTTTTAAAAGTTGGTTATGGGTACTTAAGAAACTTGCCAAGGTTTTAAAACCAAACCTCTTATTAATAGTATTTAGAATACCATATAGTAATTAAGTTGCCCTAGGAAATGAAACTGCAAAGAATCCACACATACATGATGTTTTCTCTGTGGATAAAAACTAAGACTATGGGGTGGGGAGAGGTGCCTGGGTGGCTCAGTCCATTAGGCATCTACCTTTGGCTTGGGTCATGATTCCAGGGTCCTGAGATCAAGCCCCATGTCAGGGTCCCTACTTGTTGGGGAGCCTGCTTCTCCCTCTCCCTCTGCCACGCCCCCTACCTGTGCTCTCTCTCTCTGTCAAATTAATAAATAAAATCTTTTTTTAAAAAAAAAGGCAGTAAGACAGGCATTCTTTTTTTTTTTTAATTTAAAAGATTTTATTTATTTGACAGACAGAGATCACAAGTAGGCAGAGAGGCAGGCAGGGGAGGGGGGAGAAGCAGGCTCCCTGCTGAGCAGAGAGCCCGATGTGAGACTCGATCCCAGGACCCTGGGATCATGACCTGAGCCAAAGGCAGAGGCTTTAACCCACTGAGCCACCCAGGCGCCCCAAGATAGGCATTCTTGAGTCAAAACCTCTTTGAGATCATAGGCAACATAAAAAAAGACAAACCAACCAAACAAAGACTATAGGTCTCAGAGTCCAATCCCCAGATCTACTTAATCTGAGTGCATGGGGTTCAAATTTGAAAATCTGCACTTTTAATAAATTTCCCCAGTGATCCCTATGCTCAAGTTTAAGAGCAACTAAAATGGAGATTAACTGTCTATAGCAGGCATCCACTGAAAGTGATATTATGTGAAGTATATGGAGCCTTGGGAAACATCCAAGTTCAGTCAAGTTAAAGAACAGCATGTAAAATCTATTATCTAGTCAACTATACTGTAATAAGACTGCCTTAAGTGCTGATGGAACAAAAAGTTAGCCTGTAGGAAGCGTTTAAAAGACAGAAGTGTAGACCAAAAGAAGTTAAGAGAATTTTACCATACTGGTAAGATTACTCCTCTGGGGACAGAATGGTTCATTTGATGTTTCCATAGCCTGAAAACCACCTATTTCCTTATGCTCTAATTATAAGCTCC